CCCGGCCCCACTTAAGAGAACTACCCATAGGTTACCCTAAACCCTAAACCTTGGCAGGATGGGTGGCAATTACCGGCTTTGCTACTCGGCCAACGGTACTTTTGGCCTACTACAGGCGGACATTACGCCGGGGCCCCGGGAGCTGGGGTTTTCCGGGATTCCGACGTTGGGGAGGGAGGCTTGCATGAGGGGTTTAGAAGTTAGGATTGTCGGGTTCAGGGTTTGGGGGTTAGGATTCAGGGGTTTAGAGTTTAAGGGTAAGGATTTAGGATTTTAGAGTTTGGGTCTGAGGGATTGAGGAATAGGGCAACTCGGGTTTAGCCTTTATTGGTCCTGGGCAAAGGATGCATCATGCTAGGAGGTCGGGCTAGAGAATGCTAACGACAGCTGTTCAGTGAGTGTGATAAGAGAGAGTTGGGCCGTGTGCACTCAGTGCTTTGCTCTGGGACAGACACCAGAACTTCCGTGCCTCGATACAAGACGTGGGAGCTAAGCCCTAAACTGGAAGCTAGACCTGTGATTAAGCTTTATAACATCTGCAAACTCTAAACCCTAAACCCATCACTCCACGGCAGCTCGCTGAGGCGGCAGCGAATAGAGGTGAATGGCGTCTTCGATCGCTCGGATAGTCCCTTTCTCAGAGAGGATGCGGAAGCAGGGACCGGGCCCCCAGAAGTCAGGAGAGCTGGATGCGAAGAGTGAGGTCGGTAGCTATGACGGTATGAACATCTGAGGTTGCACGACAGACGACTGTTTGACGCATCGCCCGAGCCCCGTGCTGCGATGAGCGCTTGAGTTGAAAGCCGCACCTGAAGAACGAAGGCCTGTGCCGCATGTCTGCCTGTAACACTCATCAGTATATTTTGCGAAACCGATAAACCGGAGAGTGTCTGCGTGGCACCGAGGCATTTACCAGTGCTATATGCGAAGGGAGGAATTCAACACAGCAGATGGCAGGCGAGATGTTCTTTCTGCGTGTCATGACATGCATCGGCTCGAAAAAGCAGGGAGCCATAGTCATCACTACTGCAATCGCAGTGTTGTCCGTCTGATTGCCTGTGCACCTGCAGAGAATTCAGTGCCGCCAGACTCAAACCAAGCCCTCAAACCCCCAAGTCCCCAAGTCCCAATCCACTCCACAGTAAGCCCTGTGCTGTCTCTGCAGGTACGGCCTTCAGAGTTCCTGCATCGTCGACTACTCCTACCCAGGCGCCGGCTTCTACGGACCCATTGGCCGAGGCCGGGCATGGCACAAAGACATTTCGGGGGGCAAAGCCGTGAAGGAAGAAGAAGGGAAGGAGGGCAGGAAGGATTTTGGGTTTAGGGTTTAGGGTTTAGGGTACCAGGAGCAGGAGGAGGAGCAAGAGGAGGAGAAGTAGCAGTAGCTGCAGTGAGAGTAGCTGTAGGAGTTGTCGTCGGAGTTATTGTTAGTTGCCGGATAGCAATGACACCTTCAGCTTTGGGGTGCCTTCAGGTATCTTCCCATTTCGCAGTCCGGAGACTCGTTCGCCGCTCAGGTACCTGGTCCGCCGAGTTTGATGCGACTTTCGACGAGCAGACAGGGATGCTAGCATCCATGCAGGCTGGATGTGGGTGGCTTTGGCATCAACCCCGAAGTTGGGAAGTGCGGTTTCGGGTTTGAGATAGGGGCCTTAGAAATTACCTATACCGTTTTGCGGTTCCTCATTATAGTTATAGGAGACTATACCCCAAAACCCTATTCTAAGTATCAAGGCCCCTAGATCAGGTAGTCTTCACACGATAGCAATCATGGTTGTCACCATCAACCAAGAGGGGCTGTTATCTGGAGAGCCACATCGACACCGGATGATGTTCGACCTTGCTGGTCTAGCTATCACACCAACATCACGGTGATGATCATGATGATGGCCATGAGCATGACCCGAATACTCTAGTGACGAGTAGACAATGTCTACAAATGGCCAGCTTTACTAGTAGATGTCCAGGCATCGTAGTGCTAGCTGCATGCGGTACTGTACTTCATTTGCAACTCTATCAGGGCGATGACAAGTCTCATACTGAATCTGACGTTTCCATGACAGGAGCCTATGCTATGATGTTTCTTTCCTACTTCAAGTATGTAAGGTTCTGGAGCACCCTGCAAGTCCAATTTGTTGGGTTCAGGCCCAGCCATGCGCTTTCACGGAACCAGCCAGCTTCATCTGTCGCGCCGGGGCCTCAAGAACTCCCGCCCAAAGTGCAGCGGAAAGGTTTTGGAAGTAGGGTACCGTACTAGCCGCGGTACTAGCCACAGTAGTTACAATGGTAGGATGACACTAGAGATAGCAATATCGGCACCGAAAGGTAAGTGCTCGGCCAGATCTAAACACATATCATGAAATTCAGAAAAGACTCATCTAGAAGTCTGGAAGAGAATCTCGGCATGATGCAAGTGCGCTGAACCCGAAATCCTATGCTCAGGGTCCAGAAGCAGGTTCCGTCCTAACTCTTGCAACCTTCGGTGACAGTCACAGCATGACTCCCTAGGGTAGTACAGAAGCTGGAATGGTTAACGTATACCATTCCGAAGGGCTCATTGTTATAGTGTTCTTGTTAAACGATGCCAAACTTAAAGGCCGACACTACGCGCATGTCGCAACCTTCCCTGGAGCAGAAGTCCCTGGCGTTCCAAGGCATAGATTTGACTGTTCCTGAATCCACGCACATTTAGTATCGAAGCACGACCTTGTGTGAGCATTACAAACCTTCTGTGCCGGGAGCATGAACAAATCTGGGAACACCACAAGATACAAGGGCCATAGCTGCCACCAGTCGGCTGTTATACCATATACCTTCGCGCGATCATGCTTTGTATCACATCTCCGTAGAGGAAGTTATCACCTGCGAGGGAGGAACCCATAACGCCAACACCCAAAACCTAAAGCCCAAACGGTGCTTCTAGAACTGTAACATATGACAGCATGTTTGATCAACGAACAAACGAGCAAATTACAATAACACACAAATACCAAACAAATAACGAAATACGTAAAACACTATTTATATATATATATACACATGTTATATATGTATAAAAATATAGACATATACATGATACATGTATGTACCAAAAATATCTGATAATATACTCTAATCTCCTTCGCTTCGACCCCCCGAGTCTCGGCCAAGGACGGTGGCGCCTGTCAGGTTGGGGGGCCAATGGTTTTTTTCCTGTTAAGTCGTAATGTAGGGGCCTAAATAGTTATCAATACTATTTTGGGTGTTCCTTCATATAATTATAGTATTCTGGGCCCCCAAATCCCAATCTAATGATTAAGGCCCCTATATCAAGGGTTTCGGAGCTTACGGTCTGGCGGCTTTACATAGAGTCTAGCGGCTTTAGGGTTTTTTTGAGTTGGGGTCTGAGGTTGAAGTGATGAACTCTGAGTTCCGAATCGTTGAGAGTTTACGTCTCTCGTGTCTTGGGCGTGCGATCTAAGAACTTATTATGTGGTTAGGGGATTCTGCTGTTGGTTTGGGGCTGCTCGTGTGACGTGATATTCTGGGCGGCCGCACATGATCTTCTGTTCGTAGTTGTCGTCGTGGTTTTTGATGAAAGCTTGAAGCCGAATCTATATTCATCAACTCACCCGTCTTTGTATCAATGCTTGTGTTGCTGCCCTGCATGACCTTATATACCTAAACTATGGGATTTATGGTACTCTGCTATACTTGGGTCATGCAGAATTTTGTCCATCAACAGTAGTTCAAGCTTTCCAGCTTATTATCTTCCGCCTCGACATGTCTTCTCCGGCTTCTCGCCGTCTTGTGTTTTGTTTTGATTGTTACTATAATTATAGGAAAGAGCCCCCCTAAATAGTATTGTTTTCATTGTTATTATAATTATAGTAAGGAGCCCCCAAAATAGTAGTTTTGTTGTGATTGTTACTATAATTATAATAAGGAGCCCCAAAATAGTATTTTTGTTTTGAGTGCGCCGTGCTGCCTCTGCAACCAGACGAGTTATCCCGTGACAGGCTGGTGATCCGTACATCGAGCCGGATGCCACTGCCGCTCGATCGGGTCAGCAATATAGAAGCTTGAATTTTAAGTAGTAGACTACTCCTTAAGACATCTTAAGACATCTTAAAACGTAGGGTTGCTTAATATTATTTCAGCTATTCTAAACTTCCTCAAAAAATCTTACTCAACATGCTAGTTGCCTTGAGTGGCCCTCAGAAAGGCTTCCAGAGGTTTCTCAGCACTGAAGTTAGGCACAGTCTGCTAGATCTTGCTTCAGTTTCCTGCTATCTGTAGAGATAGTAAGGAACCCTAAACCCGAGACCCTATGGTATTGTAACAGGGAGGAAAAGGGCCTAGTTCTATGATGCAGGGATGTAGGCCCAGCCAGGCCTGAAGCTTCCAGAAGCGATCCTCTGAGGTTGGCTCGAGGCGGATAAACATTCCAACAACACGCCCAGCTCTCAGCTGCCTTCCTGGCCGAAGGACAACCCAGTGACTCCAATATCCCTTAATTAAGGAATATACGTTAAATCATATTGGGGATCCTACTATAATTTAAGGTATATTCCTTAATTAAGAGATATTGGAGTCCCTGGGAAACTGCTCGAGCCTCTGGGTGTAGTCCTTCGCATTGAGAGAGTCTTGGGACCGGAGTTGCCTTCCGCAGCCCCTCTGAGCCTCTGGAGCCCCAGCAAAGCTGAAAGATGTGGCCTAAAGCTAATTATAGTATAATAATAATAATATACCCCCCAGACCCTATTCTAGTCATTAAGGCCCGTATATTTCAGACTTTAAACCCCATTCTAGTTATTAAGGCCCGTATATTACAGACTTTTCCGCTGACATCGGCTGCTGTTCCGTCCAGGAAACGACTTGTTTGGCAACGCCTTCGGTAGCACCACGACGTACCGTGGCTGCCCCGGTCGTCTCATCCGATCTTCGAGAGCCGGCAATCTCTGGGCCACCTTTTCATATGCTTTTACTGATACTACTAGCAAGAAAAAGCATTCAGAATGATAGTACTAGCAATAGTAGTAGTTATGGGAACAGTGGTAGTATTACTGATAGGAATAGTAATAGGAGTAGTAAGAAGAAGAAAAACAACAACAATAACCAGAGTCCCCACGGCAACAAAAGCAGGGCATCGCCCGAACCGCAGTTAGTTGCAACCTTGCAGCGCGGGCCGCATTTGTACCACTTACGACTCTAGTGCCGAAGGAGGCCCAATCACGGCAAACAAGCTCGCATGCACCTGCCCTTGCCAAGATGCGCGGACGGTGGCTGCTTGCTACTGCCCCGACCGGATATCCTGGCATGATTGGCCACTGGATAAAGTCGAAGCTCTTTCTGTCTTTTCAGCACATGTCTGAGAAGAGTATGCTGATATGACTTTAAGATGATCATTGTGTTCTGTTGCCAGGGACGGGTGCACCAACACGGTGGACTTTATCCAGCAGGCCTTGGAATGGTCGGGTCTACTTGACCGTAGACAAGGGATTTCGGGTTCATGCCTTTCTGAGATGAGGTTTCAGCCCGTGGCTGTATGTCCCTCGGATTGTAGCGTAGCTTCGTTGATAAATATGGCAAAGAGGTGCACGGTATCCATCTTGAGTGCACTCATCTGCAAGCACTTTACAGTTGACACGCCCAAATTAAACTGAACAATTTTATTCTTTAAGGTTTGGTGCCTCCCGCTCGCCTCTCGTTTCTGTTTCTGCAGATTGGCATTCTGCACTTCTACCTGAGCAAGGCGCAGCCCATCCATACGAAGCACGAAAGCCACCGCAGACTATGTAGTGATATGGCATCGTGTCACGCATATTATAGAGCTTCGTATTTCCATACTCGCAAATTGTGGTTGATGTGATGACTTCTCGGCCATGTCGCAGCCTGCTCACGGCGTTCATGCTTTGCAGGGATTTTGAAGTGTGAGTCACGTGGAGACTCCGACAGCCTACCCAAACCCGCCTAAGAGTACTGCTACTACTACTACTAGTACGACTACGACTACGACTACTACTACTACTACTACTACTACTACTACTACTACTATTACTATGATGACGTAATTTGTAAGAGCACATCCATTTTACTCGGTATTTGCAATACTTCCGTGATGTTGTAGTCCAAATACCAACGATGATGATGTTGGATTTAGGCGCCAGGTGGTTGGTAGAGAGAACGGGGGGGCCTAGTGCTAGTAGTAGTAATACTAGTAGTAGTAGTAGTAGTAGTAGTAGTAGTAGCAGTAGGAGTAGTAGTAGTAGTAGTAGTAGTAGAAGTAGCTGCTAGTACTGCTGATATGGCGAGTGCAACTACGACTATTCCTGGCATCTTAGCCCGCAATGCTGCTGTTACCTGGGCGCTTGAAGCTCGACTGCTACAGGTAGCATATTCTATTGCGAGCATCGCACCCTTGACATGGAAAGGTCTGCCATGCTGGCAGCAGCACATGCGCAGAGGACTTTACCGGAGTCACCGGCCAGCCAGAAACCCGGAAGGAATGCAGAGGCTGTGCAGCATACTCTGTTCTGCCCCTACTTAGTGTCTTTTTGTTCGACCATGTGTAGATACAGAAGTAGTAAGGGGTCGTCACCTTCTTCCTTTTCGTTCGATTGTTGAATCTGTGTATACGGAAAGCTACATACCAAGCGACAGCTTTGAACAGTCACTGCAGCACAATCAGTTCAACCGAGTAGGGCAGCACGAGACCAAAGATGCCCCACCGCACAGCCATTCATGGTGTATGTGCGGCTGTGTGTATGAACATGAACACATGCACTTACATTCATGCATGCATGAATCGAGCAATGAAGATCTGTGTTCATGTGTGTGCTTTGTGTTTTATGTGTGCTGGGGTGTGTGCTCACGTATGGCTACAGCAAAAAGCTGTATTGCCTGCATGAGTGAGTTAGCTGATGTGCGTGTTGTAGCATAGGGCAGTTATGTAAATGTACACACAATAATGTAGAATCCCGTTGAATTGTACCAAAGGCTTGCTGTGCTGAACAAGCTGCTTCACAGTATTTTCTTTACAGAGACGTCATAATTACTTTCGTATTCTTGCACACCATGGGTGGCCGAGCAGCCTGTCTGACGCAAAGCAGTGTTGTGTGCACTTTCGAACTTGGAAATCGATCTGACACTAAATCGAATTTGTGTAGCAAGGTATTCTGCTATGTGTTGACGAAAGTCTGGCTGTATAATAAGTATTTCCCCAGTACTTCGTAGTGCAGGGATCGGACCCGGCTGCTTTTGGATTGTCCAAGTTGACCCTGGTCATGGATTTCTGAGCTACCCAAGAGATGTGTCCAAGTCATTCCTGCGCAGTACCAGATTCCAAATATCGCGCTGCGACATTGATAAACACATCATGAGCAGTTCTAAATAGAGGGTCGGAGAATTGGTCATATGCCCTTAAAGTCTCTGTGTAGTTGTACATACCCTATTCTAACCATTAAGGCCCCTACATGGGGTCAATCTCGGCCAATAGCTCGGCTTCAGTCGAACCCAGGTACCGATTTCGAATTCGTGTGGAGTGCCCCACCAACGCATGCATGAACAACGACGAGAATCGCCGGGTGCTGAGAAGTCATCGCATTGCTGTTCAGGGCTCTGTGTCATGTCTGATCGCAAGTAACATCTGACCTGTGGAGGTGTACAAATTCAGCCATCACTTGGGAGCCTGGTTTTCCGAGCAGCACGTGCATCTTCAGTATTTCATAGGCCATAAGCACCTCTCACGGGTTCCCCAAAAAACATGTTTCTTGAATTCCAGAGCCTTCTAAAAACCCAACCCTAAATCTAAACCCTTGCCGGCTGCGCCCTCGCACTTTGCACATGTCTCCCCTGTACCATAGCAGTATCGGTGGCGCGTGTCGGTCGTAGGCAAAGCGTACTCCCTGAATAAATTCAGCAGCCCTTACCTCATTCTAACCTTACACCCTAAATCCTAAACCCTTACCCTACTATAGCCTTAAACCCTAAACGCTACTCACTAAACCCTTCTCAGGAGTGAAGCTAGTGGAGAAGAGCCTGGCCAACGACTTGCCCAGCTGGGATGCTGGCAATGGCTGCCGAGCACCGGGCTCGGAAAAGAAGAGCAAGGTATAGTCGGGCTTCGGTAGGGCTTGGGGTTCACGGCTTCGGGTTTGGGCTTCGGCGTTCGGGCTTAGGGCTTAGGGTTCCATGGAGCCGTAGCACTGCGCCAACAGCTCTAGTACTCAAAGGCTGCCAGGACTGAGAGTTGCAGGGACTCGGCCTGGACAGCGACAAGCCCTACCTGCAGCCGAAAAGACCTACCTTTTTAAAGAATTATATATAGAAACCATAATAAGGAACCCTTTTGAAAAAAGCTGTCGCTACCACAGTAAACATACTTTCCCACCGTCATGACCATCAGCAAGATCAGCGGCATCGTCCTCCTAATGTTCGCCATCATCACCACCACCACCACCATCATCATGATGATGATGATCATGAGCATGATCATCATCATTATCATCACCATCACCATAATCATCATCATCATCATGAATCATGAAGCGGATCTTCGGGCCATCATCCAAGCTCCTCGGTTCAGAGTTTCGGAGCTCACCTATAGACCAATCCCCAGGCCCTCCTGTACCCAGAGAGCCCAATACCCCTTAATTAAGGAATATACCTTAAATCATAATATTAAGGCCCCTATATTTTAAGGTATATTCCTTATTTAAGGGGTATTGGGCTCTCTGAGTAGCTTTCGAGTCTGCAGATGCTCAGGCAAGCTTGGACTGAGAGGCTCCAAACACGGGGAATAGGGTTTAGGGATTTAGGGGTTTACGGTTTAGGGGTTTAGGGATGTAGGGTTTAGGGATTTAGGGTTTAGGGGTTTAGGGATTTAGTGGTTTTAGGGGTTTAGGGGTTTAGGGATTTAGGGTTTAGGGGTTTAGGGGTTTTAGGCTTAAGGGGTTTAGGGGTTTGGGGTTGAACAGGGGAGGCCCGAAAAGATACGGATATTTTTCCTGAGGGTTCCTTCCAACTGATATCTGTGTATCGATGTGGGATCGTCTTTAATTTCCCTATTGTCTAATGTCGAGCCCTTGTGATGAGTGATTTTGGTGACTGTTGAAACCGACACCTAGATAAATGTACTTCATATACCCCGAAACCTTATTCTGTCTTCGGCCCTACACCCTAGTCCCCTAAACCCTAAACCCCCAAACTCCTAAACCCTAAACCCTAAACTCCTAAACCCCTAAACACCTAAACCCTAAACCCCAAGGTAAGGTAAGGTAAGGTAAGGTAAGGTAAGGTAAGGTAAGGTGTGACCGCACAGCGGAAATCCCAAAGCTCGGAACTCGGAGCTTCGGACCAGGCGCGCTCGAACCGCTCTGAGCCTGCTCTCCGTGCAGAAAACCTCTGCCCCTGAACCACCCACAGACATACGTGCGTGTACATGTATATATATATATATAGATAGGTAGATATAGATAAAGGTTTAGACGCACACACAGACATATATATATATATATACGTATGTACAGATATATATATATATATATGTACACATCTTTAACTCAAAGCCTGAACCATGACCATCTTCATCACCATCTGAAAAAGCCGCCTCGCCCAGACCGGCCTGCATGGAATTCTGGGAGGTCTCGAGGCCAGGACTTTGGGGGTTTAGGGTTTAGGGGTTTAGGGTTTGGCGGTTCAGGGGTTGGGGCTTAGGGGTTTAGGGTTTGGGTTTAGGGTTAGCATGGAAGTTGTTGCTGCAGGAGTTCTGCCATTTCAGACCTTTCGAGGGTCACTTGCAGCTTAGATGCAGACAGGTCAGATTTACAGACTGTCGGATGTAGGATTCAGAAGTCTGAAGATCAACATGAGTCATGTGTCTCTGCTTTTGGTTGCGCAGGTCCTTCCGACGACGCTGTACGTCCCGATCGACGGATCCCCGCAGGGAAACCTCAACGAAATGAATTGTCCGATGCCTACGGGACCGGGTGTGAGTGATAGCTGCTTGTTCCGGAGTTTCTCTACTTGTCTCCGGCCGACGGAACAACAGATTTGAAAGTCACCAGGCGATCCCGGTTCGCCAATTGGGTGCCGATTGTCGGGAGGAGTGCGTCAAGATCACAAGGCTCCCCTAAATGGATCTACAACACACATTCAGTAGGTTCGTATTGAGAGTTTGAGATTTTTGACCTGATGGTTCATAAGCCCTACACAAAGTCAACACAGCGCACAGAACTTCAAACGTTGACTGTGTTGGTCATCTACCATTTAGTATTAGGGCTTGGATATCCTGGGGCATTTCGTCATCCCTTTATTGTTTCCGATGATACCTTTGCAATACATAAAAAAGGGCATGGATCGATGGGCGGCATTATTTATGTCGATACCCAGGTGCATTGAAAAACGAACGGATGCATGAATGAGTCTATGCGGGATGTATGGATGGATGATGCTATTATCGACCACACTCGTCACTATGTGAAGTGTCCATGCATGCAAACGTTCATGATACGTAGCTTTTGTCGATACTTCTTGGCTGTTCTGCACACCCGGGCTCCAGTTCCTGTCTCACAGGCTCTTCTGGTTCAATCCGTTGCGAAGAGCTAGAAAGACTTGCTTTTTGGCTCGTTTTTGTGGGCACAGACGTGACGGTCACAATCAGAGTTGCGAAAGCCGAGCATTTGATATTCTTATACCTGTTTTCAACATGAACCGGTTTGTGTCAAGCATGTTTGTCAGGTTTACCGTTTACAGCCTCAACATGTCTCTTAACTCAGTTTAAGAAGCAAACAAGGCGTCATTGAGTCTTGAGTATTGTATATAGCCGCCAAGACTAGTGTACGTGGAAACAGGAAGGTGAAGACAGCTAAAATAGGGGCCTTAACAATTAAAATATTGTTTTTGGGCATTATGCTTTATATAATAAGGAACCCCCAAAATAGTATTGGTAATTATTTAGGCCCCCACATGGAAGTAGGCCCAAGTTACGTGCATGCGCTTTCAGACAAGCTCTGCCCGACGGCCTTGGCAGACGTTTGGTGGCACCTACGGATTTCGGTTCGTCATGGGCACCACCAACCATGAGGCCCGGTCGTCAGAAGTGGTTCACAGTACATGGGTTTAGGAACCCTAAACCCTA